GGCGGCGGCGGCGGGGGGCGCGGCGGGGGGCTGCCCGGCCGAACCCTTCTCGGCCTTCTTCTCCTTCTGCTTGAGGTGGATCTTGGCGTGCCGCTTGCGCTCGTCGGAGCGGGCGAACTTGCGGCCGCAGAACTCGCAGGCGAAGGGTTTCTCGCCGGTGTGGGTGCGGATGTGGGTGGTGAGGTGGTCGCTGCGGCTGAAGCTCCGCATGCAGATGCGGCACTGGAAGGGCTTGTGGCCCGTGTGGATGCGGAGGTGGCGGGTGAGCTCGTCGGAGCGGGAGAAGCGACGGTCGCAACCCTCGGCGGGGCAGGCGTGGGGCCGCTCGTGGAGCGGCGTCTTGCTGGGCCGGTTGGGATACTTGCGAGGTCGGATGGGCTTGAGGGTGAGGGGCGGCTGCGGCAGCCCCCCGAAACCCGGGTGGATCTGCTTGTCCTTGAAGGCCTTGATGGTCTCCAGCGGGGTGATGGGGGGCGGGTTGACGCGGATGGGGTCCAAGCTCTGGAAGGGTTTGTGCTCCGTGATGGTGCCCATGTCGTTGGGGTGGTGGTAGAGGTTATAGTCTGGGATCATGGGGAAGAGGTTGCTGTCCAAGGCGGGCTTGGCCGCCTGGTAATCCTGGGGGGAGTAGGTGAGGCCGGGGTTGCTCTGGGGGTCGTGGAAGGAGACGGGCTCCGGGTAGAGGTCACTGCAGGAGGAGTAGGGCGGCAGCGCGGGGTACATCTGGTCCACCTCGCCCTGCGGCGGCCCCATGCTGCCCGCTGAGCTCTGCGTGCTGGTGAGCGCGCCCGAGGACGGCGGTACCCCCAGGATGCCCGCGCTCATCAGGCTGATGATGTTGTCCTGGCACCAGTTGGAGGGCGAGTCGAAAGCGAATTTCCCCAGGTAGGTGACAGTCTTGTTGCCCGGGGCGGGTTGAAAAGTCCCCGAATAAGAGGACAGTTCCTGACCGGCCTTTTCGTTCGCTAAGCCAATGTCCATAACATTATCTGCAAAGAGCCAGAGAAGCGGGGCAGGGTGAGCCGGGAGGGCCGCGCCGCCCCGGGGAGGGCGAGGGGGGGGCCACCGGGGATGCACCGGGGATGCTCCGGGCCCCCCCCCCGCCCCGCTCCCTCCTATCCCTCGCTTCTTCCACAGCCCCCAAACTCCGCTCCCCGCGTACTGCGGCGCTGGCTGCCGAGGGTCCCGGCCACGGGGGGCCGGGCTGCCGCCCCCGCGGGAAGCGGTCCCCGGGC